GTGAATGGCCAATTTATCAAGACTGAACGTTTCATACTTTTTCTTTTTTTTTTTTTTGGTTGCTTCCGTGTTACGGTTGCCTGGTGTTGAAAATTTGGCCGACTCAGTTCTTTTAACGAGATGTCTGTTACGCAACGGTATCTCAGTGAACTGACAAAATGGAGGAACGAACATGGATTGAAGGGCGTTTCCCTCCAGCAGGCCCACCTGTTCCGCATATTTATTGTGTATAACAGTTAAGTACAGGGATAGGCAACTGGTGGCTCACGGGCACCACCAGATATGCCTCCAGCCCCAAGATTGTAGTTGACATCAGAGAAGACGACAGACAGCGGTCAAGAAAAAGAAAACGGCATCTTTCCGGTAAAGATTCAAGTTCTGTATTTGTACTTCTTTGCTTTCCCGAAGACAAACACTCATATGCTGTGGAGTAAATCTTGCAAATGTGGTTTATGCAGGCTGTTCTATGTAGTTGTTGTGTTCAGTATTACTTTTCTTATCTTCCTTATCTCAAGGTCGAGCTCCATTTTGTCTTGCCAATTAGGGCGCACGCGTAATGAAATCACGTCAACTCAACTCTTTTGTGCAAGGGCATAAAGTCAGCCGGCGAATGCATTGTCAGAGCAAGAAAAGAAACAGCACCCTATGGAAGGGACCTTTGACAACGATAATGGAAGCAGAGCAACAAAAGAAGGATAGCAGAGCAATTCTGCGCAACATTCGTACAGGTATAATGTGCGCTCAGAATAACACGTCTATGTCTGGCTGCATTTTTCGAATATTATTGATTCAATACTGTTTCCATGGTGGCTATAATGGGCTGCAAGCACAAGGCACAACTTCATGGATGGTAAAAATCAAGGATTTTCTTCAAATCAAGCCTCAGTGTCGAATAGTCGCAATACACGTAACATTTACAAATAGGACAGAAAATGGCATCATACCGTTGAAACATTCAAAGCTGTTACTCTGATATTGCCGGGACACTAAAGACGCTGTGTTGGGGAGACAGTCCGTTTTCAAAGTTTTGAAAATCGTGCTATAAAGTCAGAACTGCTATTACTGTACTATTTGCCCTCATACATGTTTTATTTGTGGCGTAAACTTTCTTTATTTTTAACCAAAACATTTTACATTTTGTTCTAAGGTACATGTTCCTTGTACATAAATGTATAATGGAATATTTTTCCCATATTTGAGCGAGAGATTTAATTGCTTCAAACGGAGCGGGAGCTGATGTAGCTGTCAACTGATTTTATCTCTTGATAATATTTAATAATTGTCAGACTCCGTTTCTGTTCATAGTTGGTTGCTCTCCGTCCTAGCCAGACTTTTAAAAGCGTGCCCGTAAACCAAAGCACTTATTTTGGTCTTTCCCAACTCTCCATATCACATTCATGATTACTAGCATTAGCTTCTCCATCTTCTAATCTTCTGCCTTCTTCCTCTGCGTGTTTGGATGCTTAGCGACTCCTCATCCGCTTTGAGTGAAAAGTGTTACTTGCTCGAAGGGCATTTGTCGCCACGGAGCCGAGGATTAGTTACTTAAAGGAGAGCGCTATCTTGGCATCGAGCATTCTCAAGCCGGCGTGAAAGAAAGGACAACCCCGGAGATCTGAAATATCTCTGAAATTGAGATTTCGATCCCAGAACGATAAATCGTTCATATGTACAGTATCTATATGCACAGGAGAGAGCAAGATCAATAGATATTTTCACTGTACTCTACCCATATTATGTCATTCATTGGTTTAAAAGCCGTGCCCCCACTGTGACCAAGTGCCTCTAAGCACAGGATTCAGATAATCCTCACTTGCTTGGTCCGAGGAGCTTGACAGGAGAGGTCGAGAACATAACCTGTTTCCAGTAAAGTTCATGTTATCTTTTCGGGAAGTGTCGTCTTTTAGTTGCGGAGCCTCAACGTTCACCCTGAGTAACCATGACGAAATATTCAATTTGCTCACTCCAGTATACGACAACTCAAGACACGGCAAACACTGAAGATGCCGTTTGTTTGCTGTGCTCTGCTCATTGGTCATCCTGCCCAGTTGGCCAAATTGTTCTTGGATGCTCCGGGGCCAGGACCCCCAGAGCAGTTGATATATTGTTGTACCATGACATCAGCCTCCATTTGTTGGTCAGAGTTCTTGTAAGGTAACGTACAAAAGATAGCCAACAATAAAATTTCACACATGTCTGAGGAACCAAGGGAAAGACATTTTCGATGTAAAAAAAAAAAAAAAAAAAACCCAA